TCTCCCAAAACTGGACCGGGAAGAGATAGAAAACTTGAACAGACCAATAACAACTAAAGAAATTGAAGAGGTAATCAAGACTCTACCAGCAAACAAAAGCCCAGGCCCAGATGGCTTCACGGGGGAGGTTTACTGAACATTCAAAAAAGAACTAACATCCATTCTCCTCAAACTATTTCAAAAAATTCAAGAAGAAGGAAGACTTCCAAACTCGTTTTATGAGGCCAGCATAATTCTAATTCTAAAACCAGAAAAAGACACTACAAAGAAAGAAAACTACAGGCCAATATCCCTGATGAACAGAGACACCAAAATCCTGAACAAAATACTAGCAAATTGGATCCAGCAATACATAAAAAAAATTATTCACCATGACCAAGTGGGATTCATCTCAGGGATGCAAGGCTGGTACAATATTCGCAAATCAATAAATGTGATACACCACATAAACAAAATTAAGAATAAAAACCACATGATCATATCAATAGATGCTGAAAAAGCATTTGACAGAATCCAGCATCCATTTCTGACAGAAATGCTCAGCAATGTGGGAATAGAGAGATCATATCTCAACATAATAAAGGACATATATGAAAGACCTACAGCAAACATCATACTCAATGGGCAGAAACTAAAAACATTTCCCTTAAGAACAGGAACAAGACGGGGATGTCCACTTTTGCCACTCTTGTTTAACATTGTACTGGAAATCTTAGCCACAGCAATCAGACATGAAGAAAAAATAAAAGGGATCCAAATTGGAAAGGAGCAAGTGAAAATGTCATTATTTGCAGATGACATGATATTATACATAGAAAACCCTAAAGACTCCATCAAAAATCTACTAGACTTAATAAATGAATTTGGTAAAGTAGCAGGATACAAAATTAATGTCAAGAAATCAACAGCATTCTTATACACCAATGATGAACTCACAGAAAGAGAAACTGAAAAAACAATTTCATTTACCATCGCGGCAAAAAAATTAAGATACCTAGGAATAAACTTAACCAAAGAAGTAAGGGACCTATTTGCAGAAAACTACAGGACATTGAAAAAAGAAATAGAGTAAGATATAAAAGATAAGAAATAGAGTAAGATATATATGAACATACCTTGTTCATGGATTGGAAGAATTAACATCATTAAAATGTCCCAAAGCAATCTATAGATTCAATGCAATCCCCATCAAAATACCAACAACATATTTCACAGAACTAGAACAAATACTTCAGAAGTTCATATAGAACCAAAAAAGACCCCGAATAGCCACAGCAATTTTGAAAAAGAATGACAAAGTAGGTGGGATCACAATACCAGATATCAGGTTATACTACAAAGCCACTGTAATCAAAACAGTGTAGTACTGGCACAAGAACAGGCAGATAGATCAATGGAACAGAAGAGAAAACCCAGAAATGAACCCAAGACTATATGCTCAATTAATATTTGACAAAGGTGGCAAGAGCATACAGTGGAGTAAAGACAACCTGTTTAATAAATGGTTTTGGGAAAACTGGATACCTCTATGCAAAAAAATGAAACCAGACTATCAACTTACACCATATACAAAAATAAACTCAAAATGGATAAAAGACTTAAATGTGACCCGTGAATCCATAAAAATTCCAGAGGAAAATGTAGGCAACAAAATTTCAGACATCATATGCAGCAGAATTTTCACTGATACATCACCTAAGGCAACAGAAACAAAGGAGAAAATGACCACATGGAACTACGTCAAACTAAAAAGCTTCTGCACAGCAAAAGAAACAACCATCAAAATGGAAAGGCAACCCACTGTATGGGAGAGCATCATTGCCAATGATACATCAGATAAGGGGTTAATTTCCAAAATATATAGAGTACTCATACAACTCAACAAAAGGAAGTCAAAGAACCCAATTAAAAAATGGGCAGAGGAGCTGAATAGACACCTCTCCAAACAGGACATACAAATGGCCAAGAGACATATGAAGAAATGTTCAACATCACTAATCATCAGAGAGATGCAAATTAAAACAACAATGAGGTATCACCTCACACTTGTCAGAATGGCCACCATCAACAAATCATCAAACAGGTGTTGGAGAGGGTGTGGAGAAAAGGGGACTCTAGTGCACTGCTGGTGAGAATACAGACTGGTGCAGCCACTATGGAAAACAATATGGTGTTACCTCAAAAAATTAAAAATTGAACTTCCATTTGACCCAGTGATCCTGCTTCTAGGAATATACCTGAAACACCAATCAGAAAGAATATATGTACCCCCATGTTCATAGCAGCACTATTTACAATAGCTAAGATCTGGAAACAGCCCAAGTATCCTTCAGTAGACGAATGGATAAAAAAGCAGTGGTACATATACACAATGGAGTACTATGCAGCGGTAAGAAAGAAAGATCTCTTATCCTTCGAGACGACAAGGAGGGACCTGGAATGTATTATCCTAAGTAAAACAAGCCAAGCAGAAAAAGACAAATACCATATGATCTCACTTATATATGGAATATAACAGTCTGAGGAATAGGGTAGACCCATAAACATGGAAGTATGGTACAGACTGACAACCCTCAGAAGAAGGGGGATTCGAGGGAGGGAAGAGATAAACCACAGAACTTATATGTATGTATGCATAACCAATGGACATGGACAACAAAGCCGGGTACGGGGCGGGGGGGATGGGGAGGAGGGTGTCAATGGGGTAAAAAAGGAGAAACATCTGCAACAAAAATAAAATAAAATAAAAAAATAAATAATAAAAAATAAATTAAGAGTGAGATATTTCACAACTCGCTCTACACACACACACACACACACAGGGGTGAGCAAACGTGGGTTTACAGTTGTTAGTATGGAAAATAATAATTAGTAAATAATATTACAAGAATAAACTGTTTTGTGTACTCACAACTATAAACCTACTTTTGCCAACCCCTGACTATATTTATGCTTTGTAAAACTGAATTGTGGTTAAGCACAACCCACGTCAGCCAGAAGTTTTACAACATTAAGTGCTGATATTTAGTAAAATCGAAATACATTTTGAGGTAAAATTTCAAACAAAGGTATATAATAATTCCAGAAATTAGAAGCCCAAGGGAAAAAGGAGAATCCCAGAAAGAACCTGAGAATCAGTAACCAAATGATATTTAGGAAGAAATAACAAAAGACCCATCCAGTACTGCCAGAAATTTGACATTTCTTAAAACCACTCTCCCGGGATTAGCAGTGGATTTTCATGTGTGAAAATGGAGTAGCTCTGTGCACATTGGGTTGCACGCATGCAGAGCACTAATCTTTAAAGATTCTGTTCTTCTGGAATCACTTTCTGTGCCAAATTCTGTATCAATTAGGGTTCAACCAGAGGCCAAACCTGTAGGTGATTATATAAATATCCAGGAGAAGTGACTTATGCAAATGTAAAGCTGGCTAAGCAGGCTGCAGACACCATCCCTGATGCTGGACCCTGAAGTCCATAGGGTAGACAGGCAGGAGGGAAGATGAGAAGCAGGCTCAAATCCATGCCATGAGAATGGACTGACACTCAAGTCCATTCTTATTGTCTCTGGCCTTGGTGACAAGGTCACTCTGCAGAAACCAGAGCCCTTGGCACAGAGCTAAACACATATCTGGCCCAGGAGTCAGGGAAGCTGACAGGATCCAGGGCAACATACACAATTGCAGGCCTAGCTAGGCTTCACACACCAGCAAGGTAAATCAGCAGCTCAGCAACAAGCAACAACGTGTAGGAGTTACACAATGGCTGTGCTTCCTTTTGCTGTCCCAATCTCTCAAGAATCTCCGTTGTGGTCTACCTTACCCAGAAACATACCCGAAAGGGAATTCTGAGAAATGTAGTTCAGCCTAGTCAAACTGACACATTACAAAGCCATCACATTCTTTTTAAATTTTCTTTATTGATTTTAGAGAGAGAAGGAAGAGAGATAGAGACATCAGTGAGAGAGAACATTGGTTGGCCTCCTCCTGCATGCCCCCAACTGGGGATCAGGCCCACAACCTGGGCATGTGCCCTGACCGGGAATCAAACCAGTGACCTCTTGGTGCATGGGTCGACGCTCAACCACTGAGCCACACCGGCTGGGCAGCCATCACATTCTTTAATGGTTATATATCTCTTCAGATCCTCCTTTTGTTCTTCGTCAGCCTTAGTAAATTATATTTTCCTCTAGGAAATAGTCCATTCTCCAATTTTTGAAATTATTGGGATAAGTTATTCATAGTATTCTTGTAACTGTTTTTAGCAATTTCTGCTAGAGCTCATTATATCCCTTTTTGCTCATTAACATTGCTAAATTCTTATATTGTTTCTAGTTTAATTGCATTATGTTCAGAGAATATAGTATCTCTGTTATTGATTGCTTGGTATTTGAGATATTTTTGGTACTCTAATACAGCGATTTTCAACTGGTGTGCCGCATGAATTTTTAAAACATGCAATACCTGACAATTTAGTCAGGGGCATTGACCTGTTTTCCCTTAGATTGTCAAATAAAAAAATGACAACAGCTAACACAACAATAGCCATCTGGTGTGAATGAATCAAATTATACCTATTTTTTTTTGTCAGATCAACAAAAATATATTTTTTGGTGTGCTGTGGAATTTTAGTAATTAGTTTATGTGTGCCATGAGATGAAAATGGTTGAAAAATCACTGGTCTATTACATGATCAATTTTTATAAATGTTCCATGTATGCTTGAAAAAAATGTGTATTCTGTAAAATTGAATGAAGAGTATACACATACAGACATACACACAATCATATGGATTAATTGGGTTGTCCAATCTCCTATACACTAATTTTTTATTTACATCATCTATTACTGACGAGGTATAATCAAAATCTCCCTCTATTTCTTCTAGTAGTTATGTCAATGTTTGCATTATAAATTTTAAAGCTCTGTTATTAGGTGCACATGTTTCTACTTATTATATCTTCCTGGTGAATCATTCCTTTTTAGCATTCAGTAATGACCTTTTTTTTTTTTTTTTTTACCCAATGATATTCTTTGCCTTAAAGTCTATCCTGCCCAATGTTAATATTGCTGATTTTAATTACGCTCTTTTTTTTCCCTGTCCCACAGGGGTTTCTTTTACTTTCCTACCAGCTCAGTTATTCATTTAAAAAAGAGATTTGTTATATTTTGTCCATTATTTTGGTGTATATAGCAGACAGCACTGCAGGATATCTACCCTGGTATATTGATAGATCTTGAAGTTATCAAACTTTAGAAATATTAAAATATACTTGCCTTTAAACAGAAATCTCTTATTGTGTTAGATATGCAATTGGAATAGCAGAATAAGTTTCACAATGTATGCATAACCAAGGTCCCATCTTACCAGTGAAGGTGTCAAACCATATTAATTGCAGGGCTCAATCTGAAAGTGTTCACTTTGTATCTCAAACACAGTTTATCCTAAGAATCTGATATGGCCCAAATCCCTGAAGTGTGGTTCCCCCATAATTGAGAATCTGGTTTATGGTATCGTCAAAGAAGATTACAGTTGAAAGCTGGATGTATTTTATTGTATTAATAGTTCAGTATTCCTCCTCCTATTCTTCGGCCACTCACAGATGCAATTTTTATTGTTTTATGGTTTTCTTTCAGTATGTTCTAAATTGCTGTAGTCTCCTAGTTAGTGGACATCAAAGAGACCAACACTAGGCTCAGTTTCTATCTAGAAATGTGTGAGTCCTACCACTGGAGCTGACATTTAACCTAGTCTTTACAAAACAGCTTACTGGGCACTTCCAATACCCACACCATACATCTGCTCACGGCGGAAATTGGGGTTTACTTCTTTCTACTACTGGTTCTGCAAAAGACGGTATTAGTGACTGTGTACATAAGGAGGGAAACCCTACTTCTTGTTAAGCAAGACTGGTGTTTGATTTTCCCACGTTGTCAAATTTGTGTACTACATAGAAGGCCTTTAAAAACTCATTAAAGTCGATGCTTCCATCTTTGTTCGAGTCCATTCTTTTAGCAAGCTCATCAACTTGGGAATCATCAATATGAACACGGTAGTGACTACTAAAAAGTTTCCACATGGAATGAAATTCTTCCATGGAGATCAGACCTAAAAGAATATAGGAGAAGGCTGTGAGTGTTCATTTTAAGGCCCACCTAAGGGAGGGGTATGGAAGACATACTGATTGAATAGTTCCATTAGAAGTTCGCTAACATGCCTGACCATCAAGGCACTGAAGAAAATGGGAAAGAGAGTAAATATAAGAAACAATATGTCACTTTAAACTAGGAAGTGATCCTAAGATTATTCTAAAGCTAGAATGAGTAAACAGTGAAGGAATGGAGGGAGATTATCAACTGTGGGACTATATGTGGCACAGAAATGATAAGATCTAAAATCTAAGGGAGAGGGACATGGAAGGTGGGCAGAGAAGAGAGCAACATCAAAGCAGACAAAAAAGATACCCTGGGACTCAGTAACAGCATTGCAAACAGTGGCTCTGCCAGTTTGTAGGCAATAATTTACTTTTGTGTTTTGATCATTAATTTTTTGGTGTTCAATGATCTCTACAGTTAAGGATTATTTGATTTCTTTTTAAGTTTGAAAATATGGGCAGTGGGTACACAATGCAATATACAGGTGAAGAATCATAGAACTGTACATTTTAAACCTATATAATTTTATCAACCAATGTCACCCCAATAAATTTAATGAAAAAATAAATATTTGCAAGCAAAAGAAAAAAAGTTTGAAAATAAGTAATTGTGCATCAAAGCTAAGCAGAAAATGAATTTTCATAGCCCTCAGTCCCCAAAACAAAATCAGAACTCTAGGAATGATGTTTATTGCTAGGAGTGACTATGATGTTTAAATGGACAGTGAATTATCTTTTCATCTGTGCTGGTGACTTATAAAAGAAGCTATTCTTATCTGACTAATGGATATATAGGCCTATATAGGACCTTATGGTCTTGAATACAGTTTGTAGCCAAACTAAAATAACACTAATATTAAAGATGAGTGCCCCCTCCCACCCCAAGTTAAACGAAGTTTGGATAAAGAATGCAATAGATAAAAACCGAGTTCTCGTGTCAGAGAAACAGACTAGCCTTTGCTTTCTACTGCTAGTAAACTAATCAAAGTTCATTTACCTGAGTGATCAGAGTCAATGACATTAAAGATGATTTGCAGGTCAGATCGGTATCTGTACAGAGTTTCAATTACAGCTGACTGAACCTAAAAAAAGATTTTATAAGTGTTAAAACAGAAATAATAATACAGATCAATTTTATTTTATTAAATATATGCATAAAACATCACTAATTCAAAGTAGGGGATTTAGATAGCCATTTGAAAATGTAGGCCTTTCTTTGAAGCCCAACCCTCTTTAATATTAATAATCAGATAGAAGACCATGCTCTTATGTTCAGAGGCATCTGCAGTTGGTGCTCCTCAGGGAACAGGGCCAAAGGGAGCCAATAAATAACGATAGCTAACATTTACTGAGAACACCTTGTGTGCCAGGCTCTGCACAGGTTTTTTCTGTGAGTTGTTTTATTCAGTCCTCAACACAGCCCCAAGGGATAAAACTATTACTAAGTCCATTTTGCAGATTAAAGAACAGATAGGTAAAGTAAGTTTCCTAAGGTTCACATAGCTGGTAGGTGGGATTTGAATCTCAGTTGCCTGAAGCTAAGGCCTGTGAGCTCAGTTACCATGGTAAACTACCCCTTAAGTGAAGTCCAAAGCCTCCTTCCTGTGGACATTTGAGGCTCTCATCGGTACTTTTACTTCCCTTCTCTGCTATTAACTTCTTATCTCCCCTGCAAACAATCATCCCGGGTCTAGTTCCCATCAGCACACTTTTCAGCCCAATGTCACAACTAATTGCTGAACGAGTTGTTAACTAATAAGTACTAAGGGACCTGACAACTCTCGCTGGGGTATTTCCATTTTAATAAAGGATTTTAAACTTTAAAAGTCCTTAAGGTATAAGATGTCATGTCAGTAAGTCTATATACTCACAATTCAATAGGAAATACGTTGAGTATTTTAAAGGGTGTGTTATATGAAAGAATGGATGTCACATCTGCAGTCCTGTTGAACAGCTCTTAAGAGAAAAATCACATACTTGACATGGTTCTGTTTGCAGAAAGTTTTTCTTTTTTCCTACCCTTAGAATGCGCACATTTCCTGAACATACCACAGTGCACCTGGGAGATCCCCCTTAGGAATTCCTAAGACTGTCACTCCCATCCATTAGATGGTTCCACTCCCAAATTTCCAAAGGACTAACTAAGCTACTCTTACAGGTTCCCCAAAGGGTGTTTCTCTCTAGCCAGGTTTTAGCTGGAGCTGTGTTTCACTTGCCTCTTTCACAGGTTTTTGAATGTGGATATCGTAGAAGCAGGACATGTAGTCAACATTCCCATCTTGGTCTGTGATAATCAGCTGTGAACTCAAGGTTCTCCATGGTAAGTTCAGCCCCAAAACGTTCTCCATGGCAAAAGCCCATTGGCCCATAGAAATTTTCCCTAGCAATAACAATCAAAAAGAAAAGGAAAAAAGCCTATCAATTATTTGATAACTTGATTTTAAAAAAATGCAACCTCCTCAGGGGAGCCAGTGGGAAGCCTGGGGTTTCAAGGCCTGGGTGCCTCCTGCTCCCCTTCACAATTTGTCTTACCAGGCCCCATGGCTCCAAGGGAGGAACAACTAAATAAAGTCTTAGGTGTTCCATAGCTCTTTCCTTACTGTTATGTGTAAGCAATCAGACTTTGGGTGACAGATTTCTTTTTCCTTTTTCTGATTAACAATGTATGTATATAATAGAAGATTCGAAAATGCAAAAGGATACAAAGAAAAGTATATAAAAGATCAAAGATTTTATTTTTAACATTTTGGCAATATTATTCACTTTTCATCTTCCCAGGTAATACCCTTTCATCCCCTATTGTTATATATAGTTTTTAAAAATATAAATCTTTATTTTTCCTGATTATTAAATATATGCTCATTTGAAATGATTTTGAATAAACAGAAAACCAATAAACCAATCTTCACAATTCATTTTTCCATTCTACTGTTGGTAGATACTGGATTATGTCCAATTTGAGGCTATCACAAACAGTACTGATAAGAACATTTCTATACATGCCCCTTTGGTGCATTGAATCTATAGCTCAATTTGGGGAGAATTTATATTTTTGACAACACTGGCCCTTGAACATAGTAATATCTACCCATTCTTTTCAATTATTTTTCATTTCTTTTAATAATATTTTAGAAATCTCATACATTAATCATTTGGTCTCTTGCTTGGTACTTGATTATTATGAATGGTATCTTTTAAGGTTTTCATTATCTAAAAGTTGCTGGCTTACTAATTATCAATTTATTCCCACTCAGCTCCAAATGTACTCTTCTTTGCCTTGTTTTGTGATATTGGAGCTGAACCCTGTAACTATTTCCTTTTTTTTTTTGGTATAATGTTAGGCCTTGTCAGCACACGGTACAGGAAGAATGCTCTAAGACACAGCAGAAGAAATGGGTCTGGTATGCTTTGCTTCTTTTTTCTATAGCATATATGGTTGCCAGAGGTGTGTGGGAAATGCAGTGGCACCCATTCACTAGTCAATTTCACTGACACCACAGTGGGAGTCTACCTTGCCAGCAGTGTGTGGGAGACACAGTGGTGCATAGCTCAAAGGGAGTTCATCCTCTCCAGTACTAGCCCTCTAGCTGCAGACCAACTCTGTCCTGAGACATCAGTGAACTTCTTCTACTCCATGCAGTGGGCCAGAGTCATACCCTCTCCAATTAGGTCTGAATCTTACCCTTGGTTCAGAGTAGGGGACTCTTCCAAGTGTGTTCCTTCCTTGAGTACCCTCTCTCAGCCTTTAGAGTTCTCTTTTAGTGATTAATCACTTTACTAGTTAGTAATTCTTTTTTAAATATGTTTTCATTGATTTTTTTAGAGAGAGAGGAAGGGAGAAAAAGATAGAAACATCAATGTGAGAGAGACACATCGATTGGTTGCCTTCTGCATGATCCTGACTGGGGCCAAAGTTTGAACCTAAAACCCAGGTGCATACCCTTGACTGGGAATCGAACCCTCAACCCTTTGGTCTGAGTGCCAATACTCTAACCACTGAGATAAACTGGCCAGGGCAGGGTTTTTGCTTTGTTTTTTAGGTTGAAAGAAGCTATTGAAAAGGAGAAATATATGCCTTTTTTCGCTTATAATGGATTATATTTTATTTTTATTTCTGTCATTCCTCACTAATAAAAATAGAGAACTGAAATCTTAAGACAGCGGTCTATGGCCATACCACCCTGAACGTGCCAGATCTTGTTTGAAATCTTAAGAAAGCAAAGAAAATGAAAACTAATTTTTGTGTAACCTGGTATGTTAAGAAATGGTAAGCATTACATAATTTTTTACCTGACTTAGTGCGGTCTTGAAGTTGGAAAACACGAATGAGGTCAGTTTTTCGTGAAATCATTCTCTCTTTTAATATCCTGATGGCATTACTTTCTATAGTATTCACCCTATGTTAAGAAAACAGTTATTAGGTAAAAATTACATAAATCATCTTGTTCTGTTTCATTTTAATGTGCTATGTTACCACTCACCAGTTTCTACATTAAATGAATTACCTAACTTCATACATGTTACTAGGTGGTGAATGTGTGAGTGTGTGTGTGTGTGTGTGTATGTGTGTGTATGTGTGTATATATATATATATGCATGTTTTGTGAAATTTTAAAAAGATTACCATTGGTGTTTTCTTTTTTTATTTCAAAGAGTCACATGAACAATTAATGTCTGAGAATATCCAAGACAATTTTGAAGAAAGGAAATAAAGTGGGACTTGCTATAGCAGATATTAAAATTTACCACAAAGTTACTAAAACAAAACAACAGTTATTGACACAAGAAAAAACAGGAATATGAGAAGATAATATAAATTTCACAAATATAGTGAACAATATATGGGAACGATATGTATTACAAAGGAAGTATGACAATTCAGTAGTAAAAGGATAATTTTTAAAAATGGTACTAGCATAGTTAACTAACTGACTGAATTCTAAACTTCTACCTTAGATCATTTACAGAAATAAAGGAGAAATAGAGGAACAAAGTAGTCATAAGTCATATACTCACTCCCTCAAAAAAGCAAAATGGCAGATATAAATCCAACAATATCAATAATAACATCATATGTGAATAGATTAAATAAATAAAAAAACATTATTAGACTAGACTTAAAAAAAAAAAAAGACAAGAATCAACTGTGTGTTGTCTGTAGGACATACACTTTATTTCCAAAGATACAAAGAGTTTGAAAGGAAAAGGACAAAGATACACCATGCAAACAACAACTACAGACAGTTAGAGTGGCTATACTAATAGTAGACAGAATAGATTTTAAGACAAAAGCTTTTACAATTTCTCATAGGTGGAATCTAATGAACAAACTGAACTAACAAATAATATAGAGACTCAAAGACAGAGAGCAAGCTGACAGCTGCTAAGAGGGGTTGGAGGGAATAGAGGGATTGAGCAAAAAAGAAAAAAACGAGAAAAAACTCATGGACACGGATAACAATGTGGTGATTGTCAGGAAGGGGTGTGGGGAAGGTAGAGGAGGGTATGGGGTGATAAATGTTGATGGACAGAGACCTGACTTGGGGTGGAGCACACAATACTGTGTACAGATGATGTGTTATGGAATTGTATACCTGAAACCTATATAATTTTGTTAACCTGTGTCGCCCCAATAAATTCAATGAAAAGTTAAAAAAAGACAAAAGGTATTACTAGAGATAAAAAGGAATATTTTATGATAAAATAGCCAATCAATCAAGAAGATTATTGAAAAATAGGGGGAGAGAAGATCATTAACATTTTCTTTATATGTCTTTTTTGGTCTCACTTCTTAACAGTAAATATATTCATTTTATAATGAAAAAATTCTAAAAGATAATTTAAAAGCAAAAAAGACAAGCTATGGATGCCATCATACGGAGAAACACACACAACTCTTTTGTCATACACACTGCTGGGTAGAGAAGAGACAAAGAAGGAAGACCAGACTGGGTTGTTTGGTGGCGCTGGGGGACAGAGAAGGCTGTAGGTTATGGGGCTGGGTGGGTGTGGGACCTTCTTTTCTTTACATTCAATTAAGGACTGTTTGTGGATGCTGACCAATTTATCCATCTAAAGAGATGTATGAATTAAAACATTGCTCTTCTTGGTGTCAAATATGAATGTATTCACTACTTGCTGTCTGGAACTATTTCCATTTTGCTTACACCAACGAGTAATCAATAAGTAGTTGTCTCAACTCTCATGGCTGCTCTTAGTCATTGTGGATTACTTCTACTTGGTCACTAGTACCTGTGTTCAGAATTCCCTTTAGAGTATACACACCTTTGGTAAAGAGGTCTTAAGCACGTTGCCTTTGTGACTTGGTACTGGAAAAATCGAGGGGTTGTACGAAAACCCACCTTGATGTAAGCTCCTCGATTGCTGCCTTCTTCATAATAATTAGAAGCAGAAAATACCGTAATAACCTGATTAAAGAAAAAGAGGGCCAGGTTCACGTAGAGTTAGTTCTCAAAATGTCCTTCAATAAAGTCAGAAGTAGCTCATATTAAAAAAGCAAAAATCTAACAAAGTTCAAAATCCATACAAATCATCTAAGTCTGACAAGATTTCCTGTGATTCCACTGGAGAGAAACAAGGCTTTTAAATCAGAGTCCCCAGAAGTACTGACTTCTAGTGCTCATCCCCACAGTGTATGACCTTGCAGTCCTGTGTACAATGTCAGCTTCATATCTTAAAATCCTCCTTAATGCTTGGTTTTGCAAATTCTAACTTTCCAAAGGGGCAAGCCCTTCTTTCCTTTTCTTGTGATATTTGAGCATTCAAAATAACTTGTCTAGCATCACAGTCTTTTTCTTTTTCTTGGAACTGACTAATTTAGAGAGCTCAGGGCCCTATACAAAATCAATACTTTAAGGGCAAAGTACTTAAAATAAGGGACTACAACCACTCTGTTGGCCTTGGGGATGTGGTGGAGGATGGGAGGGTAACATCTGTCAGTGACAGAAAACCTGGCTGAGGCCTGCCCTAATGAGTATGTCACTTCAGATAAGCCACTGCTATTTTCTCTCCATTTTCTTATTACAAAAAAACCCTAAATAAAACTTGTCTTAATCACCTCACAATTGTTAGTATGAGCCTCAAATGAACTAAGAGAGTTAAGAAAAGTAAAAAGTGTTGAAACAGAAGGAAATGCCATGCAAACTGGTATTCTTTTGTATTTATCACTGTTCAGTATTAGGAAAAGGGACATCCCAGGACAACATGGAACAAGAAACCAGTGCCTTAATCCTCACCTCTTCTAGTCTTATCACACATCACTGCAGGAGCACAACATGCTCCATTTTAGTGGCTGCAGCTAAAGTAACCACAGCGAGTGACTTCCTAGAGATACCTACTCAATGAGTAGAAGGGAAGGGTGTTTTGTTGCTCTGCCCTGCACTGGGAACATGCAAAGGTGAAAGAGAAAACTGGATTCACTGCTGCCTTTTATGTACTCAGTGAGGATAAGTACATTCTCAATCTCACTGTATTGAAAAGTTGCCTTACAATTAGTAAAAGCCTTTTCGGGTATACTTACTGTCACATGTCAGACTTTCTATCTTTGGGATTAGGGAAGATTAGGGAAATAAATCAAATGTCCCTCAGGGTGAGAGGGACAGAGAGGCCCCTTCCAACAACTTTTGTAAACCCTACAGTCTGCCCAAAGCATGGCTTTCTCTTTCAGTACTAGGGAAGACATCTTCCCATGGGCCTCTAGGTGAGACACATCCTGTAAAGACTATGCTTGGGGGAAGGATGCCTGTGATGTCACCAACAATGTTAGCTTACCTTCCCATCATGGCAGATTTCATACCCTTCAGGCTTACATTCATGAGACCTAATGAGCAGCTTCAAGTGGTTTTTATTAAGAAACTTGGAGGTAACATCTGGCCCAAAATAGCAGCCCCCTCCTCGACAAGTGTTGGGGTAACAGCCTCGTTTACCTCTAGGATCACTCCACAGGATATCGATAACCTTGAAACAACAAACCAGATTAGGCTCCTACTTACAAGTGAGAGTTTATCTTTCTAGATTCTAACTTCTTTTCCAGAAATATTAACTCATATTATCCCAAAGTCTTACTATTTCTCATTCCTCTTTCAATTTTTTTTCACACATTTTTCTCCTCCATGAATCTTTTTGAGAGTAATTTTAATGCCCATAACCACCACAATCCCTTTCTGCTCATCCCCAATAATCGATGTCGCAATAATAGTAACTACTGTAGCAATGCTTAATAATCATGAAGACTCAGCCCTTGGCTTTTTTTTTAATCCTTCATAATTGTTTTATAATTTCTAAATCTACAAAGGTCTTTTCTCTTAAAAGAACTTCATTGTGGCCTTGGCAGGTTTTGCTCACTGGTTAGAGCATTGACCCAAAGACCAAAGAGTCACGAGTTCGATTCCAGTCAAGGGAATGTACCTCGGTTGCGGTTCAGTCCCTGGCCCTGGTAGGGGTCATGTGGGACGCAACCAATTGATGCATCTCTCTCACATTAATCTTTATCTCTCTTTCTCCCTCCCTCCTTCTCTCCCATGCTCTCTGAGGATGGATAGAAAAATATCCTTCAGTGAAGATTAAAAAAAAACAAAATACTTCATTGTCATGTTCAAAGGAGAAAGTAGTTTCCCCAATTTGAACACACATTAGGTATTCTTTTTTAATTAATTAATTTTTGTTATAGATGTTTCTCCTTCCCCCGACCAAGACACCCTCCTCCCTATCCCGCCCCCCTCCAAGTTTTATTGTCTATGTCTGTTGGTTACACATACATGCATATCAGTTCTTTGGTTTATCTCATCCCTCCCCCCCTATCCCCCTTCTCTGAAGTTTGTAAGTCTGAACTGTACTCCTTTCTATGTCTCTGGGCTATTTTGTTCATCAGCTTTTTTTTTGTTCATTATATTCCACAAATAAGTAATATCATATGGTATTTGTCTTTCTCTGATTGGCTTCTTTCATTTAGCATAATACTCTCCAGTCCCTCCATGTCGTCTCAAAGAATAAGAGAGTTTTCTTTTGTACAGCTGCATAGTATTCCATTGTGTACATGTACCACAGATTTTTTATTCACTCATCTATTGATGGACACTTAGGCTATTTCCAGATTTTAGCAACTGTAAATAGTGCTGCTATGAACATAGGAGTACATACATTCTTCCTGACTGGTGTTTCAGGCTTCTTAGGATATATTCCTAGAAGTGAGATCACTGGGTCAAATGGCAATTCAATTTTTAATTTTTTGAGGTAACACCATAGTGTTTTCCATAGTGGCTGCACCAGTGTGCATTCCCATCAGCAGTGTACTAGAGTCCCTTTTCTCCAAACCCTTGCCAGCACTTGTAGTTTGATGATTTGTTGATGGCAGCGATTCTGGCAGGGGTGAGGTGCTACCTCATAGTCATTTTAATTTGCATCTCTCTGATGATTAGTAACATTGAGCATTTTTCATGTCTCCCAGACATTTGAATGTCCTGTTTGGAGAGGTGTTTATTTAGGTCCTCTGCCCATTTTTTTTTTTTTTTTTATCCTCACCCGAGGATATTTTTCCATTTTTTGTACAGATAGAGTGGGAAGGAGAGAGAGGAAGGGAGAGAGAGAGAGAAACATCGACGTGAAGGGACACATCGAGTGGCTGCTACCCGCACGACCAACCAGGGCCGGGGACAAACTGCAACCGAAGTACGTGCCCTTAGCGGGAACTGAACCCGGGTCTCTCCGGACCGCAGGCCGACGCTCTAACCGCTGAGCCAAACTGGCCAGGGCCTCTGCCCATTTTTTAATTGGGTTCTTTATCTTCCTTTTGTTGAGCACTCTATATATTTTGGAAATTAACCCCTTATCTGATGTATCATTGGCAATTATGCTCTCCCATACAGTGGGTTCCCTTTCCATTTTTATGGCTGTTTCTTTTGCTGTGCAGAAGCTTTTTAGTTTGATGTAGTCCCATGTATTAATTATTTCCTTTGTTTCTCTTGCCTTAGGCATTGTATTAGTGAAAATTCTACTGTGTGTGATGTCTGAAATTTTGTTGCTTACATTTTCTTCTAGGATTTTTATGGACTCACAAGTCACCTGTATGTCTTTTATCCATTTTGACGTCACAGAAATACAAAGGATTGTTAACAAATACTATGAACAATTATACGCCAACAAATTGGACAATCTAGGTGAAATGGACAAATTTCTAGAAACATATAGTCTCCCAAAACTGAACTGGGAAGAGAAAGAGAACGTGAACAGGCCAATAAAAACTAAGGGAAATTGAAGATGTAATTAAGAAACTCCCAGCAAACAAAAGCCCAGGCCCAGATGGCTTCAGGGGGGAGTTTTACCAAACATTCAAAGAAGAACTAACAGCCATTTTCCTTAAATTATTCCAAAAAATCCAAGAAAAAGGAAGACTTCCAAACTCGTTTTATGAGACCAGCATAATTCTAATTCCAAAACCAGATAAAGACATTACAAATAAAGAAAACTACAGGCCAATATCCCTGATGAACATAGATGCCAAAATCCTTAACAAAATATTAGCAAGTTGGATCCAGCAATACATTAAAAAATTATTCACCATGACCAAGGGGATTCATCCCAGGGATGCAAGGATGGTACAATATTTTCAAATCAATGAATGTGATACACCACATAAACAAAATGAAAGAGAAAAACCATATGATCATATTAATAGATGCTGAAAAGGCATTTGACAAAATCCAGCATCCATTTCTGATAAAAACGCTCAGCAATGTGGGAATAGAGGGATCATATTTCGACAAAATAAAGGCCACATATGAAAAACCTACAGCCAACATCATACTCAATGGGCAAAAACTAAAAGCATTTTCCTTAAGAACAGGAATAAGGCAACGATGCCCACTTTGGCCACTCTTATTTAACATAGTACTGGAAGTCTTAGCCACAGCAATCAGACACGAAGAAAAAATAAAAGGGATCCAAATTGGAAAGGAGGAAGTGAAATTGTCATTATTCACAGGTGACATGATATTATACATAAAAAACCCTAAAGACTCCATCAATAATCTGCTAGATTTAATAAATAAATCTGGCAAGGCAGTAGGATACAAAATTAACATCAAGAAATCAGCAGTATTCTTATACATCAATAATCAACTCACAGGAAGATAAACTAAAAGGCAATCCCATTTACCACTGGGGCAAAAAAATTAAGATACCTAGGAATAAACTTAACCAAAGAAATAAAGGATCTATTTGCAGAACACAACAGGACACTGAAAAAAGAAATAGAGGAAGCTATAAAAAGGTGGAAGCATATAACTTGTTCATGGATTGGAAGAATTAACATCATTAAAATGTCCATACTACCCAATGCAATCTATAGATTCAATGTAATCCCCATCAAAATACCAATGACATATTTCACAGAACTAGAACAAAAACTTCAAAAGTTTATATAGAACCAAAAAAGACCCTGAATAGCCACAGCAATCTTGAAAAAGAACAACAAAGTAGGAGGGATCACAATACTGAATATCAGGTTATACTACAAAGCCATTATAATAAAAACAGCCTGGTACTGGCACAAGAACAGGCATATAGATCAATGGAACAAAACAGAAAACCTGGAAATTGACCCAAATGTTATGCTCAACTAATATGTGATAAAGGTGGCAAGAGCATATAATGGAATAAAGGCTGCCTCTTTAATAAATGGTGTTGGGAAAATTGGACAGCTACATGCAAAAAAATGAAACTAGACCACCAACTTACACCATACACAAGAATAAACACTAGGTATTCTTAATATGTCCAGAGGTCTCTCAGTTGTGGCTTTGGCCCTGGTGTTTGTCCTGTTGAGTACATAGGGTGAAGACCCCTTTTTCCCATCACAAATATAGACAACTGCTTATGCCCTCTTGACAAGTACAGCTCAGTTTCAGCAAAACATTTAGCCACTGTTTGGTTTCCACAATGTGTTCTCCTAAATCCACAAGATTTTACCAGCATAACATTTCCTTTTGGGGCTGAAATAAGCAAATGCAGACTACGTGATGTCCAGGACCAAAGTTACAAGCGTCTAAGAATATTTTTAATAGAAAATTGAGGGCTCCGTTTGTGGATGTAATCTATGTATAATGTTTCCTTATTCAAACATATCCTACAGGAGCTTAAACAGTAGTGAGAAAAACTAACTTCATCATTAAAGATGTGTAACTTTGAGAAAACTCTCTGGGTCTCAGTTTCTAGATCTTTCCAATCAGGGGTTTGTTCCACTACAGCTATTTATAGGTTTGGAATTGAAGGGGAGCTAGAAATCAATGAGGGAAAAGATAGTAAGGTGGAGAAAAGAGCAGAACTGGTTGGATAAATGCTCTGGAATGACGGGCACCTGGTCAGAACTGGAGAGACCCTGCACCAGGTATATTCCAGATACTTGTAGAGTTTTTGATGATCGATTGAAGTGAGAATTAAAATCACCCAAAGAAGATTCTTCTTTCTCCCCTACTGAATTCCAACACTGGTACAACCCTACCCTACAAATCAATACAATGGAACCCATTTACTTGGCTGGTATTTATGATAAAAATAACATTTGCCTCTTAGACTGAATTGTATCTTGCTCTTACACCATAAATTCATGTTTTTTTTTTTTGTTTTGTCTTTTTCTGAGGGGCGGAGTGCACTAAGGAGGGTTTTCCATAAATTCATGTTTGAAGGATATGATTGGATATTTAGTATAATAAAGGAGAAAAAATGGAACACAAGGAGCTGTGTTTTCCAAAAAGGGGATTAAGTTTTAATTCCTACATGGTAATTTATAGCCAAAATTACCCCTGGAAAACCTTTTAAATTACCCTTAAAGCACAGTGCATATGATTTTGTATATACAACTTTATACAGCAATGTGGATGTGTGATATTTTATATATATGATGTACAATATAGTAAATTATATGAAAATAAAATTGTACACTTTTTTCTTTTTTCCATGTA